AGGAAGGCCACTAGGCGTTGCTTGCTCGGGGCAGTAGGATAGTGAACGGACCAGCGCGGGCACCGTGGTGCGCTCGCCGATAGCTGGAGCTCGAATTTATCCGTAGACTCGCCATACCGTCGCAAAAGCCGCCAATTTCGCACCAATCACTTGATTTGCCATCAGTCAAGGTATTCGTGCGCCAAGTATATCACCTCCATCGCCTTCGTCTATTGCTGACGCGAATCTGTGGGGATTGGTGGAGAATGGGGGGTAGCGTCTGTCGTAGTGACATCCAAGGCCTGAGGCGACAACCAAATACCATATCTACGCCTCGAGGCTTGAAATGCCCAGCAACAACACCACAGATACGAGCTTGGTACTCGGATAGGCGTATATCGGTACTCCCTATAGGCGCACCGCTTGTGCGAGGCTGGCTCTGGAACTGCACGAGGCTGCACCCGCAATACAGTGGAGGCGTCGCATCGCAAACTTCAGCCCTACCGGCTTTACCATGAGCGGCATCCCGCGCTCGAGAGTAGTGGAGTAATGGGCCACCGGCGTATCTCGTGTAGAGACCTGTGCCCGCAATCTCTCGGAAAGAGCTGGAAATTTGCACAAGTGGTGTTATTACTCAGGCATCGACCAGAAAACTGTGCATCCACTACAGCTATCGACAACCTCCGTGGACAGCATCGGCATCATGTTCCCTACACGCAGCTCAACATGTCATCAAAGGGCAGTACCGTAATATACCAACATTAGGCTCGGCACCAGTTGAGGCTCCGTTTCATCACTAGACTTTAGCCGGCAACCTGGAGGAGGCGTAGGTGCAGACGGTCTAACGAGACCTCGATCGCCTCGTCAACGTCGGGTTTGGATTTTCCGACACCAAAATGCAGTGCAACCTAGGTCCACCCCACCTGCTGGAGCATTACATCGTCGATATCTGATGACTAGCTCATCATGACACTGGTTTCTCGCGATCGGGACGTCACGAAGGCCGGGAAGACGTTCAGGCCAGTATGGAGGCAGCGAGAGGGGTCGCTGCTCTTCGGGTCTTCGCGCAGTTTCGGCGAGATACCTATCAACCGCTGCTGCGAGGTGAAGCAGATTGATTGATTCACTTCGTTATTCTTCAGCCGTCCGGTCTCGTCCAGGTATCAGAACGGATAAATACAACGAAGTTCAAACATGAACGGGACGCCTTAGAACATCAGCCGTACTGCAATTTTCCGGTCAAAGGAATATATCTATTCGTGGCCACCAAGTAGGCTACCTTCCAGCGTATCTCATGAACGACGCAGCTTTTAAGGGTTTCAGCAACCACCGGCAATCGGTCATCCACGTGGTACAATCTCTGAATGCGCTGTTTTTCGTACTCTGAGCATGATGCGAATCGAGCATCCTTCTACGTGCGGCTCTCACCAGTACGCACGCTTGCGCCATACGAACAGTTACCGCTGCCACGAGCCGTACCGAATTAGCCCAGGGTATCTCATCTCTGTGGAATAGAATTGAGTAGGCTCGATGACACGTAGTTCGTCGGAAGGTTTGTTGTGCGGTCTCAAAAAGGATGGCCATTTCTTGTGTACGGGTGTACATACGCCACATTGTTGGTTGCTGTCGGAATTAGCTCGGTCGATAAATCGAGCATTAGACTAGCACCTCGGGCATGCCCAGGTGGAGTGTGGTGATTCTCAGACGCATCACAGCATACGGCCAGTCTACTCGTATCTTAGGGTTGAGCGCCTTCGACAAGCGATAACGTGGAATCTGCCTCTCCGAGATGCTTTTCCTCTGGAATATTTCAAATAAATCAAAACACGGAACGGTAACGGGTGTATATGTCAAGGATTCGAAAACTCCATCTCCGCTTGGTATCCGAGTCCATGTAACTGCTAATCTATTGCACTCAGTCTCTCTAACACACTGGCTGCGTTCGGTCGACAACCTGGGTCGATCTCCAGCATGTCTTGTATGACATAAACAAGTTCCGCTTCAGTTGGCCCAAGCTCATCTAGAGCAGCCGAAACTGCCTCAGTTCTCGTCATATTCCCATCCTCTACAGTGTAATAGCACCAAGCTACGCTCTCTTCCTCCACCTCGGAACGAAACTCCTTCAGATATTCCCAGCCTTTCCAATACCACACCAAAATGTCGAGGAAGACACATCCTAGCGACCAAATATCATGTGGGCGAGAGCTTGGCCCGTTCTTGTACGTCTCCGGTGGTAACGTTGGTGTGTTGCCTTTGATCTTCGACTTTGCACTACGTTCGAACGCGCTGAGATCCCCGCCATAGCCTGCGGAGCCGAAGTCCGTGAACTTCAATCTGTGTTTCACGTCAGCGGCAGCGTCGTTGAATGCTAGGATGTTGGTAGGCTTGATATCGTGATGATGGTATGTCATATGACCGTGAATAACGTCTAGAGCACTCGCAAGGCCCCGGAGCTGTGCCAAAAGCCACTCACGATCCAGATCGTCGACAGCCCGGCGTTCAGGGTACTTCGCCATGAACTCGTCCAAATTGCCATCCGCTAGCTCCGCGATGAGGTATATCTTCTTCTCGAATAGGAAGCCAGTGTGAAACGTAGTGATGTGCTCGTGGGAGCCTGGAGAACGAGCCAAACTCTCGAGGAAATCGCATTCCCGCTCAGCATCTTCCCGAAATTTGCTGACTTTGAGTGCAAGATATTTAGACCAGTTGTCGGGGCCCGGGGCCTCCCGTAATAAGGGAGCACAGCTGTTGTGGATTCTGGCTTTGTAGACTTTCCCTCCGGAACCTTCGCCAATGTCGGGTTTGACACCTTTGTTGAATTCGATCGGAATGGCATAACCCGTGAGATTGGTCCTGTATTGAGACTCGTGAAGTTCAGGGACAGTAAAGAGATGTTGCGCGTCGCAAATGGTACTGTAGACCGAGTCTGATTGTTCTTCGGTCACCCCAAGCCAGTCGGCTGGCGAGAAAGGAAGGGCATCATCATTGTAGTTTGTCAAGACGAAAACTATGTCAGGTGGCGAGAGACCGCAGTAGATAGCGAGAGCAAACAAACGCTCACCACCTGGCCGGATCCTATTCTTCAGTCCGTATACCGTGTCGGTGTCAAGCCCGGAGAAGTGGAAAATACCACTTACGCTGCTTGCAGAAGCAACTTCCCGAATGGTTGTCAACGGAAAGAATTTGAATGTCTTGTCGCCGAATTTTGCGGTGGTAGTGTTGGTGACCAGCCGGGTCCTACACGCTGCCGTTATATCATTGTAGTCCTTTAGAGGCTTTCCCATGATGAAACAGGAGTGGTGCGATAGAACAAGGAATGAGGTATTGGAGAGGATATGCGTAGCATTCAGTGGGCTTCTTTATGACCTCTGTTGTTCAACAATCACCAAACACGAAGTCTGCACTCATGGTGAGCTCACATGGATCTGAAGTGATTGTTGTTTGTGGGTGAATGAGAGTCTGATTATGCAAGTGGAGGTGGTATTTCATTTCAGTATTGTTTATGTGACCTGCGGGAGGCTCATGATCATAGAGCACAATATCCACATGACAGGAAAGAAGTTGACGGGCGTATTAATCACAAAAGTTAAGATCATATGGAGGGTATAGTATTGAAATTGAGAAATTATGAACCAGCCATTCCCGTAAACCAGAGCTGCACGAACAAAAGAAACATCGCAGAATGAACGGGATGAGACTCACCGCAAGAGTGCCTGATCTTTGAGCGATCTTCAAAAACGCATTTCCACAAGTTCTAGACCTACTAAGTGTCTAAGAGGCTGCCCAGAGCAGTGACTACATCACTTGCTCTGCTAGTATTCACCACGTCCACCTGTAGCATTTGGCTGATGTTATCGACCAGAGTCTTCCACTCAGCACCTCTGTCGGCAATCTCTTTCATCTTCTGCTGGACAGTACGTGCAATCCCTCCTGGAGGAGTATCAATCCAACGGTATCGGTGCTGCTTCACAAAGTCACTCATCTTAACCTCACCCTCGTGGAACCATACGAGTACTTCGAGAAGGGCCAGCCCTAGGCACCCGATCACTTGATTGATGGTATGCTGAGGAATGTATGCGAGCTCTGCTCCGCCAAAGTTATATTGTATGATGTTTCCACTGTCGTGGAGCCAACGGGAAGACCACCATGTTGCAGAGGAGTCCTGCCGGGGATAAAGACGCATGGGATAAAAGACCATGTGAGGATGAGGGTGGTAGAGGCCTACGTATCAGGTTCGGGTGAGCTTGGCAGTAATCGTATCGAACGCTGGGAGGCCGCACTCACTGTTGGTATCCTTGGACAAGTTTATCAAGTGACCGTATTACTCAAATGTTCATAGCAGTTGACAATCGCAGGTCAGTAAAAGACGTGATCTGCCGGTCACACGCTGCTAACACCCACGGGCGTTATGACATTAGCAAACTGAGTATTGAACAAGTAGATCAAATTCGATGCTAGCAACCTCGATTGCCAATATTTGCCATGGGAATGAGGTTTCTCAATGACAGCTCGTAGCTTGCATACCGTTTCGCACATGCGCACAAAGGAAGGTCGGATATTGTCTTTCTAGATGTGAGACGCATCACGAGGTCTTGTAGCCTGTCGAAGGCATGCCCTCCTTTGGAACGAACAGTGTGATACAAACCACCTAATGGAAGTTGAAGCGACGGTCTTCATTGTGGCGATAGCAGTGTCTACGTTCGCTGAGGTCTAAAAGCGTTAGTCAACATGCACCCTGAGTCTAGCCTTAGGCTTATTGGCCATCGCGAAGCCCCAGTGTGTAGATAGTCGTTAGTGAGCCGACATTTCGTCAATAGTACCTGGCGTTGATTATGCTCTGCATGTTCACATCCAGGCTACTATTCGGTTGATACATGGAGGAGCCAAAGTGAAAAAGGACGAATGGGAGGTTGGTGATTCAGCGGCCTTGGCGTTGTGACCTCATCCAAAACTTCGGGTGCGGCGAACAGCGGAGGTGATCGCATCACCCGAACTTCTTCCCTACACCATTCCAACCACCCATGATGTTTGCAAGACGCGCAATTCCCTCGGTAAGCTCCTGAAACGTACGTCTAATTATCAATTCAATCTGACAGTCACCAGGCCTTCCGAGCCGCCACCCGCGCCAGCGCAGCTCGACCCATCCCCTCGGCACGATTCCTCACACCGTTCCAAGCACGATTACTCTCCGATGAAGTCCGGTCTGCCATCGACAAGGCTGTCGCATCATCGCCTGTTGTTCTGTTCATGAAGGGTACACCAGAGACACCACAATGCGGGTTCTCGAGAGCCAGCATACAGATTTTGGGCATGCAAGGTGTAGATCCGGAGAAGTTTACAGCCTTCAACGTGCTGGAAGACCAGGATCTGAGGCAAGGTACGATTTCACGGTTCCCACGCCCGTTTGACAACTAGGTTGTAGGACTCGAGCCTGCGGCACATTTTGGATGGCTGCAGGCCGAGTGACGGGACATTACATGCTGACAAATTCGAAAAGGTATCAAAGAATACTCCGAGTGGCCAACCATACCGCAACTATACGTCGACAAGGAGTTTGTCGGTGGCTGTGACATCCTGATGTCGATGCATCAAGATGGATCGCTTGCAAAGATGTTGGAAGAGAAGGGTGTAGTTGTGCCAGCCGAGGGACAGGCACCGTAAGAGGTAGATAATACAACGGCGCATATGAGAGGCGCATGGACTGTATGCCATACGGTATCACTTTGGTTGCGAATGTCTAGCCAGCTTCTGTCACCCGTGTAACAACTATATGTATACATACGAAGAGCAAGATACGCATCAACTTCATGGCTGGGATGCCTGAAATACTCCAAATAACACACTATTCGAAGGGAAAATGGCCACTTCCTGCCCTTGTATGATGTGACTAATATGAGTGCTCTTTCCTGTTGTCACCACGCGCCTTCCTCAACGGAGCCGGAACACCCCGCAAGCTTTGCGTCTGCACCAAAGCTCAACTTCATCTCTCTCAGTACTCGCAACGCTTCTTCGAAACCCCCAAACACAGGTCGCTTGCATGGAGGTCGAGCGCAACGTACCTGAACTGCGGGTGCGCGGCAACATGGGCCCGCCGGCGAAGAATACGGTGTCTGCGGCTGCCGTTTTCAGGAACCAGAGTACTTTCAAGGAACAAGGCAACCTCACACGTCAGAAGAATATTAGAAACTCCAAGTTCACCGGAGACGATGTTGACGCTACCACATTGCTGAGCGCCGGGTCTCACTCAAGCGTACGGAGCGTAGAGAAGAGAGGAGCAAGAAAAAGATCTTCGAACATGCACCCTCTAGGCGTAGAATTCAAAGGTATAGCTAAGTTCTTTCATGTGCTGAGCGCAGACCGCTGATATCATACTGCACAGATGCCAGCGCTAAGTACCGTCGCCATATTTACAAGACTGTCTCTTTCAGGATCAACAAGACCCTCCAAAAGCTTCTTCATACCCTCTACGAAAGTACGCTGCAGAGTGTTACTCGCAGCAGTAACCAACAGGACCCCGTTAGCTCGCCCCTCAAGATTACTGCCCCAGCAAAGTACGAGCGCCTAGCCACTCAGCTCTACCAACCCATCTCTCAGTTCACTTTATCACTACGGCGCACTGACAGTGAGGGAAAGAGTGTGCGTCTTGATCAGACACTTGAGACTCGCATGCTCCATTACGACGAGTTGATCACTAAGGAGGTGGCCAAACTAGCGAAATTGCAGAAAGAGTGGGAAGTCGTCTTGGGCGAGATCTGGAAGCTAGGAGCTACATGCCTAGGCGAGGAAGCCATGGAAAACATGCTATTCACCAAGCAGCCATCGGACGAATCGGCATTACCTGCTTCATCTTCGCCATCAAAAGTCACTGACGCCGAATCCACACTCTTCGTCCCCGAACACGAGAGCTCTCCAGTACGCAATAAGTCTCATACCAACAGGAAGCACGTCACCTTTCTCGAAGAAGGAGTACCAGCAGATTCCCGTAACAACAAGAACGCCGTCACCCTAACGACCATGTTTCCAAAGTTCATATACCAGCCCTCGAGGTATCGCAAGGACACCCTGCCTCTTCCGACAAGGCTCCCTGATGATGACACCAAGAACCTAGAGAAGGAGGTGAAAGAACTGGGCAGGCAGGAATTGAGTGACATGCGTGAGATTGAAAAGGAACATCAGGCGTACTGGAAGAAGAAGACGGCACAGCTTGCTGTTGCGCTGAAGAGTGACTGATAGGGCAGGTCGATGCACGCTCGAGAACATACTCACTCCAATGGCCTGAGCATAAGTGACTACGATATGTTGGAAGCTACGAATTATCTACTTGACATGGACAGTCCTGCTGCAACATGACCCGCGGTACATGATCGCAGCTTCAGGCAATAAATCTTTTCTCATCTACGTCCATCGACACGACGCTCGTCATCACAAGTTCCAGTAAACGATGAATGGGGCAACGTTCAGGACGTTTTGTCCGTATACTGTATTTCAAAAGTCTACAAAGCAAGTAACAATAAATGTATAACCTCCAAAAGTGATCTAGCGCATGCTGCCTTTAACTAAGCAACGGTCTAATAGTCTAGATGGATATCTCTGATTCAAAGTAACCCCCAATGCTTCTCCCCCAATCTCGCACAGACTTAGTCGAACGAGCTCTTGAAGACGTAGCGCTGGTCCTCAGGCTGCTGGAACGGTACACCGAGCTCAAATAGAGTCATGACGCTCTCGGAAAAGTCCTTGAAGAAAGCGTCGTTGTCCTTGGCGTACAGGTCGGTGTACTTCCTGAAGCTCTTGTCCTTAACAAGCTCCATATCAGTGGGCAGCATCATCAAGCTCTTGGTCTTGACATCCTCGAACTGCTTGGGGCCGTTCCACTTCTTCCATGCCCACTTCTCCTCGACAAGGAGCTTGTAGTAGTCGTTGGTCAGGGTGGTGGGAGAGAAGGTCCAGGGGCCGTCGAATCCAGAGCGGTCGGTGTGGCAGCGGCCTAGGGCGTGTGCGCCGGAAAGGGCGACCATGGCGCGGTCGTCGAAACCCATGCGGCCGAAGATGGCGCGGATGTGGCTAGAGTCTTTGCTGGCGTCGGGCAGACGGCCGTCGGGTGTGCAGAAGGAGACGTCGCGGTCGGTGCGGCCAGCGCGATATGGGATCTTGGGGCCCTGCATCTCTTGGATGGCGCAGACACCGGCGAGGATCCACAGATCGGAGTAGGTGATCCATGGGAAGGCCTCCTTGACGGGCTCGAGGAAGTCGCGGGCGGCCTTGAGACCAGCGTTGGCGCCGTGGTCACCTTCGGGAGCGAAACGCATGGTAGCACCGTTGGAACCACCAGTTCCTGTCATCTTGTCGAAGCTGTTGTCTGTCAGTTCATTTGTCTGATAGACAAAAGAGTAGAATACTTACGTTCCCGAGGCGTGCCATGCAAGGCGAAGAAGAACGGGACCGTAGCTACCATCATCGTAGTCATCGTGCTCCTCAAGCCTCTTGGCGATGTGGTTGTAGACCTTCTGGTAGTCCTCAAACCTGGGTGTGAAGATCTTCCTGCTGTTGGTCTGGCCGAACAACTCAGGCTGGTATGTGTAGAGGCCGTATACACCAGCACCGACGAGGAGAGCGCCAGCGCCCCAGGCTAGGCCAGTTGGGTTGCCCTCATGCTTGTCTGGTCCATCCTCCTGAGAAGCGTATCCGCGTCGTTGGTTGCGGAAGGCGTTCTGTGTGGGCGCGATGAAGCGGGCAGAAGAGCGGGTCGAGGTGGTGCGGAACGAGGGAGCGGCGGTGCGCAGGGCGCGAGAGAAGCTTCGCGAGGCAGATGCCATTGTGCAGACGGTGGATGGGAGATCGAGGCGGTCGAGCAGAATAATTTGTGCAACAGCTGGATGTCTGTTGATAGGCTACTTGCGGAGCAGTTTGCCTCTTAGAAGGTCAATTGACAGTAGCACAAAGGCAGGAAAGTCAAAGAGAGTGAAAACACAAACGCGAATAGGGCGTAGGCACGGGAAAGCTTTTAAAGATTATGTTTCGTTGCCTCGGACTCAGATGGCGACAATCTTTCTGGAAACAACGGCATCGACCCACTTTGATAGCCTCTGCACCAATCAGGCGCATTACGGGGCATAATCGTCTGGACCCTTGGGATTACGATATCTGATGCCGCCGCGACACTTTTCCGATCGTGAAGCCATTTCCGCCGATTGGGTTATATAATCCACGCTTCTAGCAGATGACGGTTTCGAGTTTGAGACTATCAGGCAGGGAGACCCGTGGTTTTGTAGCTTCGCAGGGCTGGGCTTTGTCCTCGTGCATAAGCCGACTTCCACGCCCTGTGATTCGCTGTGCTGGCGTCGATCGACGCAGGCCAGCGAGCGAGATGAGGGGTACCTGATGAGGCTCTGCGGCATCTTTGTCTGATATCCTTAGCAGTGGATATCGCCACACTCGACACGTGGTGTTACAGACGATGTCTGATGTATCGTCGCTGCTTGTTATTCTGGGTAGGACATGGTGGCCAACCAGAGCTTTCGTGTACTAAGCCGCCGGAAATGACTCGTGCCATGCCCACATGCCGTTGCCCTCCGATGAGCGGCGTGAACGACAAAAGTGGGTGCATCGCTCGAAGAGGCAGTTTTATCGATCCAGCTTTGGTACCTCACTGTCCTCGGCGAACGTATTTGTCAAGCAAAATTTCGATTCAATTATATCCAGGGCATACGATACGTATCGGTAATGAAAAAGAAGCCAGTACAGTTAACGCCTGCTATCCCTTGTCCTTCAATGCAGTTCCCAGTCTTGATAAACGCCTTGCAAAGAAATGCTCACTTGGGTCTGTGTGCGTGAAGAAGCCAGAAGCCATACCAAATTTCCAACTCCAGTGCCATGACATTAATGCAATCATTACCCGAAACATTAGCTTTCTCGCGTATTACTCGTCCCAGCGTGAACTCTTAAGAAATGTGATCAGTACATGCCGTTGTGCGGAGGCATACCCATGATCATGCCGAGATACGGCTGCGTGTGCGGGTAACCGTCCAGACTGCCGGTAGGCGTAGAGATGCCGGACGTCGATGCCGTTGCCGGCCGCGATTCTTCCATGTTTCTCTTGGCCGCATTTTCTGCGGCTTCCTTTACAATCTTGGGCTTGAGAAGATCCCAGGAGGTGCTGTTGGGGTCTTTGGGGATGGTAATGGCACGCTTGTATGCCGGACACGCTTCTAGCTCTTTGATACTGATGGGTGGATCGAGTTGGGACGCCTTTTCCTTGAAGAAGTTCTTGCGCCGTAACTTCTTTGCAGTGTAGTCAGAAGTTCTGGCCGTGCGTTGCATCTCTTCCCACTGCTCCATCTTCTTTGCAAACATCTGGCGCTCTTCTACCTTCTTGGCCTTGTCGGCAAGCCATTCAGTCCACCATGTAGCCGTCTCTTCTGTGTTGGGGTCCCTCTCTCTGGATTCCTTGTGGAACTCGGCAACGAGCTTCTGCACGTCTGACCGCAAGTAGATGGTCTTCAGCGCATGCGTACTCGCTGGTCCCACGCCGACAAAGTTACCCCATGAATCGAAGATGCCACTGGGCAAGGCAGCGCGGATATAGGATACGTCTTCGCCGTTTGGACCTCTCAGCTGGGCAACAGCATCGTATTCCCTGATGACTTGGGTGTTGAGACAGTCTT